TTTTAATAAATGTCAATATTAGTAATAACTTCATCTATAGACTATAACTGAATTTTCTTTTGCTATGACTGTGAACAGTTTTTGGTGCAGCTGTTTAATGAATTTTTTAAACTTGTGATAATCTCACGAGTAATAATCTTAGGTATTATTTATCATAAAACAGAGTGAAGCTCTATGGATCTCCATTGTTGATGCACAGCTGCAAATAATGTTGTTATAAGGGTATAGCTTTTCCTAAGTTGCCCAAAACAGATACAATATTTTTTAAGTAGTTTGTAAAATACTCCAAATTTTCCCCTGCATATACACACATACAATATTACTGAGCCATAAGTCATACTTAAAGCCACTATCAATACTGTTATGATTAATTGCTATAATAAATTCAATAAATTCAAGTTGGGGAAAATCTGAAATTATATTTAGATGTGAGAGTCTCTGAGACTAGTCATATTAATACAAGCTGAATATCGTTTAGTTAAATTGAAGCTATGTTCATTTCAAAACTCTTGCTTCCAAGATTTTAGCCAGCTGGTCAGATCAATTAAGATTCCCGATTCTTTCATATGTGGGATTTGTTGGATATAATTTTATAAATAAAGTTCAGTTAGTAGATAACCTTGTTGAACTACTTATCTGAAAATATTATCCTGAAAAGCAGGAAAATTATGTAAGGAGAAATCAAGTAATGGTCTAGACCTAAATGTAATTGCTGAGTTTTTTTAGTTCTTTACTGAACTTCTAAAGGAATTGAAATGATGGTAATTTAGAATTTTTCTTCTATTAGTAGAGAATTAGTACCTTTCTATTTTTAAGTCTTTGGGGAAATTCATTTTAAAATATAGGAACTATTATTTAGATTCCCTAGGGATTTTAATTAAATGTATAACTCAATTTCTCTATAATACCACACCATACAGATTTTACCATAAAGTCATTTCTGAGATACCCTCATTTTGGTGCTCCAAATATTTCTGGCTTTTAACTTCAGATGTTTATATGGCATCACAGATATTTTAATGTTAATCTTTACTGATGACAAACTCATATCTAATGGTCCTTTCTTTAGAATGCGAGATCACTTTCTCATCTATTCCTTCTTGAATCTTTTCTTTATATTCTTTATTGGTAATCAAACTGAAAAGTAGAGAAGCAATCTGATTCAATTATCTACATCTAAAGAACATAAACTGGTCAATTTCAAATATATGGTTAGAAAATTACAGTAGTTAACCTGCTAATAAGCAAGTGATCTGTTTCACTCACTACAATGACTCAAATGTAGACTAACTCACAAAGGCCAGCTCTTGTGGTCATATGATCATTTTATTTAGATGATCTAGCACAAAATAACATGGTATTAAGCACAAGTTCCATGAAACCAGTGAATCTGGGTTCAAGATAGAGATCCATGGCTCACTAAGGTTAAAACATAATATTAATTTTATTAATGTTGCCACAAGGGACAGTCAAATATTGTATGTCATTGTATAGTATTGTCATGTATAAATGTCTAACTATTTCTGTAGTAGTCACTGAAACTTCTACTAATGTTCAAATATGGGAACTCAGATTTCAGGGTAGATGCTGCATACAATTACTTCTGATTCGTAATCGGTTTTCTTTCTTCCCTCTGCTATTACCAGAGTGAGCTTGGATGCAATGTGTGTTATAAGGCAAAGGCAATACCTGAAGAAGCTGCAAATAACAGTTAAGAGAAAGGAAGGGTAGTCAGGCCAAAGCAGAATTGGACTCAAAATTAAAGGCTTTTATGTATTTGAAATTTTAGTATAATCAATACTCATGAATACATGGTGATTTCTTCTATGTCACAACAATTCTCTTTTATCACTGAGGTATAATTTACATTTGGCAAAATGTATTAATCTTAACTGTGTAGCTTGATTAATATTTATGTGGGTATGTATTTACATATGAGCATGGATATTTACCAAAATTTAGAGATAAAAAATTTTCATCATCTACAAATTATGTATCACTTTTTAGTTAAAATGTATACCCCAGATTTTATGTTTAGGTCACTAGGGTTTTTTTTTTCTCAAGCTTCATATAAATACATTTTTTAAAATTTGTAAAGTTTCATTTTCTCCAAATAACATTTTGAGATATACCCACTTTGTTGTGTCAATTTATACATTTTTCTTTACACTATTCAGTCTATTATGTCACTCTATCAAAATTAATTCACTTCCTGTTAATGCACATTTGGATTATTTTCATTTTAGTGCTTCTCTAAATCCCCTAGGAATATTCTTGGGGCTATCTGGTATATACACACTCATTACTCTGAAATATACCTATAAGTTAAAGTTCTGGACTACATGGAAGGTATTTGTTTTATTCCCCTTCTAGGCATCTTCCCAAAAGTCTTAAAGACATTGTATTACAGGGACATATGCATACCCATATTTATAGGAGCACAATTCATAGTAGCTAAACCTTAGAAGTAGCCTATATGGGGGCCGGGGATTTAGCTCAGTGGTTCTGCCGCTTGCCTCGCAAGCACAAGGACCCGAGTTCGATCCCTGGTCCAAAAAAAGAAAAAAAAAAAGAAGAAGAAGAAGAAGAAGTAGCCTATATGTCTACCAACATATGAATAAAGAAAATGTGGTATTTACATACGACCATAAATAAGAGTACTGTTCAACCATAAACAAGACAAACTTGAGTAATGTATAGAAAAATAGATGCATCTTGAGATCATTATGTTAAGTGAAATAAATCAGACACATAACTTTAAATATCAGTTTCTCTTATATGAGAAACCCAAATTATAAATAAAGAGCAAAATAAAAGGTAGATAATAGGAAGTAGCAAGATAGATCTTTCTCCAACGGGAAAAGGACCAAGAGATAGAGAGGAAATAGGTGGAAGGAAGGGAAAGACAATGAAAAAAGAAATTAAGGTATGTTGTGTTCGTGTACCAACTCTACACAAGGTATGTAAACATTTTATACTGCAAACATTACTAATGAAAAATTAATTTTAAAAAGTAAAAAAATAAAACTCTCAACCAGTTTTCAAATTGATATCTTCATTTCTACATTTCCATAAAAATTTATAGCATAGCAATTATTTTGAAAATTAAGGTAGGGTTCATGAACATAAGTAGGAAGAGGGCTTTAATCCAATTTCTGCTTAGTTGTAGAACACCTAAGAATTCAAAGGAATCTAAATGTTTCTCCAAACTTGCAAATAAAAACTCACTTTCTCCACCAGAAATGCTTTTGGGTATCTATTTTAACTCAATATTACAAAGCTATTTTTACTCAATATTACAAGTCTTTTCATACACATGCTCTATTACCAATAAAATTTTCATTGAAAAGTTTTCTAAAGGGGACTAAGTTTTAAGTTTTTTATGGAAGTTTTACTTTTGAACTGGAACTGTAAGAGTTTTTGAAAAATCAGAAAAGATACACTCTGAGAAAATAACATTAAAATATTTAATTTATACATAAAGGGAGTAAATATATTCAAAGGTTTAAAAATATTAAAATTGGCTAAGCACAATGGTGCAGTACTGTTATCACAGCTATCAGAGGCTGAGGCAGGAGGATCACAAGTTGAAGGCTTGCCTGGGTCTGGTTTATTTTGCTTAAGAAGGTGGCCTGGTTCCATATCTTGGCTTTGTGAATTTTACTCCAATAAATATGGAATGCAAGAATGCCTGTAGTATGATGACTGGAATTCCTTTGGGTATACACCAGGGAATGGTACAGCTGATCAAATGGTAGGTTGATTTTTAGATTTCTAAGGAACATCCATACCAATTTCTGTAGGAGCTTGACTCCACCAATGGCATAGGATTACTTTTTCTCAACATCCTCACCAACTAGTATTTAGTGTTCTTTGTATTCGTTTTGATAATCATTCTGACTAGGGTAAGATGGAATCTCAATGTAATTTGGATTTGCATTTCCTTAATGGCTACAGTTCTTGAACATTTTTCCATATACTTGCTAGCCTAGATATGTATTTTTAATGTAAATGATAACTAAAACTATATTTGAACATAAGCATTATATCACATAATATTAAGATGAAGACAATATTCACCTCCTTTTCCTATTTTCATGCTTATACTCCCAAAATTTTGTTAAAATAACTGCATCTTCTACTTGTTTAAAAAATATGCAAGAGTTATACTACTAACTTATTCAAAATGAACTATTTATTTAACTTCTAGCCTTTGAATATTTTTATATTTTCCCCTTACAATGGGGAACGTAGAGGGCACCTAATTTGTATAACTAGAAAATAAACCCAAATGTACTACTATATTAAGATATTTAACTTATTGTAGTAAATGCTATATTTTATTGTATTACATTATGCCCAAACTTAAGCATATTAATTAGAATATATATTATAATATAAATATACTCAACATAAATATGTATATTGTAAGTAATGTATCTTTTATACCTATAAATTATACTTTATAGATTATTAAAATGGTTCATCACATTAATCATATTTAATAAGTGATAGATATTTGACATGTCTATATTAGATTGAAATCTGGATATTCAAATAAACATTGGATGTGTTCCAAACCAGGCAAAATTAATTCCCTTGACTAATATCAGAGAGAAGAAAGAAAAACAATTCGTTACATTCTTTTAGGATATCTAATAGCCACAGCAATTTTAGATTAGATTAATTAGAAAAGCATGGGTATCTTAATTATATTACTGTAGAAACAAAGCAATATCAACTTACTATTTTCAATCATGACTATAGATCAAATCAGGCAGGGTATTTTGCTTCACAAGATTTACACAAACAGATCATGGCATGAAAGAAGCTTGAGGATGAATTAGATTTTTGTGAAGATTAATTGCAACATTAACTAAACTAAACAAAACCAGTATGAGATAAGATCACATGAGTAAGTCTAATCAATTTTGAGTGAATTTTAAGTAGTAGTAGGTGATGGATTTAATTTTAGAAACATCTGTCACATGTTTTCCCAGAGTCACTCCTACTGCTTCATCGTGTCTACTACCTAGAGAAGTCACTCTGTGGGTTCAACAAGAAAGTTCAAGACATGATTAGATCAGCAATAGTGCCGTTGTCTTGATGAATCAACAGGCAGATGTGTTTGATTGAGTTAGCCTTTCGGTTAACTTCATCTGGTTCAGATGATCTGAAGGTACAATTTTTTAAATTTACCAAATTATTTAAACAGAAACTTTTAGCAAAGCCACTAAATGACAAAAAAGTTGACTAATAATCTTGTTACTAATACATATGCAGAATAGACTGACTCCACTGTTCAGGACCTATACAAATGGATAGTCACAAAGCTCTAACAAGGTTTATTTTTAAATTCTCCTAATTTTCAAACCTGAAGTAAGAGTTCTTAAAATTTTTACTTCTCGCTTTATTATTTTCTCTTACTCTGTCTAGCATTTCCATCACTAATTCCCTAACTGCATAGTGGACATAATGAGGAGACTGGTTGGTTGTCCCATGGGCAGTGTCATATAATCAATCTCAAGCCTACAATGGTAATGCCAAGAACAATTCAGTATAGGGACTGAAGATTCTGGACTTTAAAGAATATCCTTTCTTTCTATATTATATTAATGTTTAATTTGAAACAATGAGTTTCAAGCATCTGTGAATAAAAATTGACACATATGAAAACATCTGGCTTCTCTTATGTTTTTCTGATTGTTTATAAATAAGACGTCATACTTCATAATATAGACTCAAAAATATGGTCAGTTGAGATACAGATAACACCTCCCAGCACCCACAGATTTTTCAAGTGACCCTGTGAAATGAAGAATCCAGAATGGCAAGAGGATCATTAAATGAGGTGAATTATGGTATTCTACCCCTGTTATCCAAAGTGAGGCATTCAACTGTACTCTTGCAAGGTATATTACATTGTTTAATATGTTTAAATATTGTGGTTAGGAATGTAGACTGTGAGTTTAAATATGTAGTGGTTGTTATTAGTTTTTTAGCAGTACTGATTCAAGTAGAAACTAATTTGTAACCTGTTCACCAAACAACAGTAGTATGTGTTATTACTTTTAATTTTTTGCCTTTGTCAAAATTGATGCTATTTCAGTACTGTTTCAGTTTATTGAGCAATTTTTGACTAAGTTTATATTTTAAAATTACTACTAATAGCTGTAAGTAGAATATATTCATCCATCCATTATTTTGCAAATTTTTATTAAGTTATGATATATTCCAAAATTTGGACACCAGTGGCTAATTTAGAAAAATGATCTATAGCTTAAAATATTTGACACTTATGTAGCTTACTATATAGTTAACATTGTAATCCTGACAATACATTTACAACTAAATAAGCTTTGCATCACAAGTACCTGTTAAAACGAATGAGAAAGTTGTAATTATTTTTTCATAGAGCACATTGTTTATTGAGAACAGAAAAATGCTACCAGCCAGACAGAAGAATATCCTGGAGCAATATAAGTGGTTAAAGATTTCAGTTTCAACTACTGTCTTGGAAGCAAATGAAGTAGAAATACTGAGATATCAACACAAGGGTAATTAAGGAGAATAGATACTAAAGATTAATGGTAAAAGTGCTCCATGAGTCAGCAAAAGAACTAAGCAAACTAGTGTGTTAGCTCTCAATAAACATGAAATTCTGGCCTAAGTCTATTGAATGAAATATATTATGAGAGCAGCTTTCATCAAGAAATTCAAAGCATATCACTAAAAGTGTAATATTTCTTTGTTATACCTAAACTTCTTAGGTTAAATCTCTAAAAATATTTTGTACATATAATTCAGATATATTATTTAGTAATAGTATTAATTCTGATGCTTCTTAATATCTTCAATCCTCAAATAGTAAAATCTCTCTCATTGTTACATCATGTACCTTTAGGTAAATTGGCCAAACAATTACTGAATATTTTCAGTTTGAGTTCTCAGATCTGGATGTGTACTGGTCAAAATCACTCTAATTTGAATTTGCCAAAAGAAGGTTTTAGTATATATGCTATTGAAGTGAGCACCAAAAGGTGTTTAAATCAGAAAATTGAATGGTAATGACTTTAATTTAGGAGCTCTCTAGTTGGTCATAATCCCCAACATTCCGTATCATAAAACATTGAGCACTTCAGGGTAATATTCATGTTAATTTTCTGATTCTGAAGAATTTAATTTTGCAGCTGAACTGAAATTTTGCCATATCCATATACCCATACTGGGTGGATAAATATACATGATATATACATTAGTATATATCTATATCTATATATATCAGTATATATTCAAAAAACAATAGGAGAATTCTATTCTTGCAACTTGCCTCTGATGCACATCATATTTTACTTAAAACTTAATAGTTGATTTTGATTCCAAATTAGTTTTCTTTCGCTTGTAAACACAGTTGCTACCTCAGCTCTTATTTAGTTCCAGACAATATATTTTGATGGATTTCTCTTATAAGTTGTCTCTTTTTGCCAAGTAATGGGGCTCTCCATGGAGTTGGCAGTTCAAAGAAAACTAATTCTATTTGTGGTTTGATTGCTTGTTTAATTGGCTGACACCCACATACAAACTTACCGTAAATTTATTACAAAATTTATTACTGTCAACTTGCTTATCTCTACAAGTAACCACATTTCTCTAAATTATTACAACCATGATAACTCAGCATCATTGTTTTTCCAACAAAGACTAAGTATTTAAGTTCCGTAATGCCAGATGCAACTAATTTTGTCCTATATATGAAGCTTGGAGTACAAACAATTTAATTTTTTGTTTCACTTTTGTAGAGCTTTTGTGCTTTCTAAACTATTAAAAATATCCCTGGAATTCCTACCTATCAGATCTATGATCTACTTCAAATCAGTCTATTGCTTCTCAGCATTTTGGCTAATATCAAGTGTAACACTTCAAATCAGCCTACAGTGATTAATAGGTTCAGTTGAATACCAGTCTGTGATACATCATGTGTTATAAACCAATCTCTTCAAGATTTATGGCTGTTATCATTTATAGGAAGGGGAGGCTGCAAAACATCATGCCCCTGTCATACCCTGTTGGGAGCTGTTCTGCTTCCAGATGTTTATTGACAGGATTCAAGACTTAAGCACTCTTTTCACCAGAACTCACAAGGTCAGAACAGGTCATAAGCAAAACTGACACTAATTTAAACATCTATGCTTACATGATGGTTTGACATCTGTCTTTTCTTCCCCTTTGGTGTATATAAATCATCAACCTCTAAGTCAAAAATAACAGTATAGAATGGTGAAGCTTCATTTTACTGACCTATTAATATCATATAGTTATTTTATTTATTTTATTTTTGGTTGTTCAAGACAGGTTCTCACTATGTAGTTCAAACTGGTCTTGAACTCAGTATGTAGCCAAGGTCGACCTTGAACTCATAGAGATCTTCCTGCTTCAGCCTCCTGAGTGTTGGAAATTACAGGAGTACACCACCACCCCCAGTTTATATCTTATATAGTTTAGCATTCATTCATCTGTGATCACTGAAGTTGGCATCTCTATACTAGAGGTGGACACGTTTATTTACCTTCAACTTTTTATTTTCCCTTTGAATATCTTTTTTATAAAAATGCACCTCCAAAATTGTTATCTTTTGCTAGTCTCTCCATTTGGCCATGACTTTTCATGTTTCTAGGTTGCATTTTATTGGTTAAAATATATGCCCTTGCTTTATATTTAGTATTGATCCAGAGGATAAGAATAAATTTGATATAAGCACCGCCATACTTAGGAATAATTACTCTAACCGACTGATGTAGAAGACTCTGGACTGGAGACTTTAAATTTAGTTCATATGATTTACACAACACACTTTCGAAGATTAGGGACACAAAATCTACTTGTTCATTATGAGATATAGAAGGTGTTAAGATTTTTCTATACTCCTTATATATACAAAAGTAGTTTTTCACATAAAGAATCACAAAATAGGGTATAAAAAGCCACAATTATTACTTGTTTATAACAATTAAAAGCATATAAATGTGTGTCTCAAAAATCCCCAAACCTCGGGTCTTATAGTTTTGTCCCACTTTTTACCTGCCTCACCACATGGCTTTGCTGTATAAAACATCCTTGAAAAGTGGGGTGGGGGGCAATCCACTTTCCAGTCTCCCTTCTGTCTCTCTTAGGGAGAAGCCTTCTTTCTCCCAATAAATTTTTCCTACTCTTAAAAAAAAATCCCCAAACCAACAGATTATTTAAGTGTTCTGCTCTGATTATGTCATGGCTTCACTGAATAAATCTGGCTTTAACTTAATAAAATTCTACCATGGAAGAAGATGCACAGAAATTTCACCGAGCTGTTTGTGACTCACAACATTGAAAGTACAATAGCCCTTGCTAATGAGAAAAGAGAGAGAGAAATGGTAAGTGAAATGAAGGCATGGAATACTATAGGCCTATAAATATCCATCATACCCAAATGAATGAGGTGGAAAATAATTTTTAAAACAATTATATTACATAGCCTTTGTGTGTGTATTTATTCTGTTTAACTGTACTAATAGCCATATAGGAAATTTTGGAGATAATTGGTTATTTTACCTATAATACAATTAAATTTAAAAAGTAGGAAAGACCAATGAATCAGTTCCCCAAAGTTTCCAGTTTCAACAGCATTGCATTATTCAATTAAATTGATAATTGCTTTAATCATTTTTTACTACAAAATAGAAAGTTCTCCAGTGTGCTTTTCTTTTAATTTAATCCAAGGAAGAAAATCACATTTTCATATAGGCATATGTTGGCATTAGCACAGGAAATCAGATTAATGGAAGGAAAGAAAGAAACAGACCTTGAGAAATAACTTTCAGAAGCTAGACTACAAATGCTCATCCCCAATATAGACCACTTTACCTTAAAATGTGCTGAATTAAAATGTGGCATTCTTGAGCAGCATAAAATTCACTTTTTGTTTTCTTTTGAGAAAAAATATATTTAAATTATTCTGCTGCCCAAAGAAATTGAGAATAGACTATTTGTCACACAATGAATAAATAATTCCTTACTACCTCAAAAATACTACCATTTGACCTAATTTACTGTGTCAGTGTAGTTTTACCAAAACCTCTGTCCTCAATTCCATATGACCTCTGTCAGTGACCCCTAGGCCATGTTTTTAGGTACAATGTGTATTATAGATCAAAGAGGAAGAGACCCATTAATTTAACAGCATTTTCAATCATCTGTTGAACCACTTGCCTTTAATAATCCATTATTTAATTAAACACAAGTGACTCATGCAGCATTTTAATTAGTTATCCAAGGTCTAACCACTGAGAAGCCAAGTGGGTTGAGGACACGAGAGGCAACAATACAGTAGGGAATATGTCACATCCTTTCTGCACCTGCACCCCTCATAGCATACTGTGTACTCAATTTAGTGAGGGTCAGATTACAGAAGTTTGTTTTGAGCACATTACTGATTGTCTTCCCTAAAGCTATTTGCCCTTGGCTCCTATAAAACATTAAGACTTTTTCTTAGAGTTTCCTTTCCCTTTTTGAGAAGCTTTGACAGGCAGCCTTCCTTTATATTGGC